TATATATATATATATGTATATCTTTTAGTAAATAATCTGTGAGATGTGAAAGAGTTTCAATAACAACACGCTTGTAACCTTGTCGTAACGACACCTATACGAGTAATGTTGATCGTAGCGATTGAATCTCATTCATTCGTATAAAAAGTATTTACTCGGCCTTCAAGGGAGAGAATAATAACGCCGGAAGCGTTCGACTCGAGATATACGTAGCGCAATACATTAATAAACCACAATGGCGATCTCGTAATGGGGCGAGGCTTTCTAATAGCGACGTCAGCGATATTATCGGAAATTAGCTTCAGGTCAAATTTCGAATCGTGCGATTTTCCAAATATGGAATGTACATACATACGTACAGCACCATCGAATATATCAATATATGCATAGAACGGCGACAAACACCTGATAGCGAAAGAACGAAGAGAGAGAGAGAGAGAGATGTAGGGGAAGCGGAAAAGGGGGGCAAAAGGTAACGGGGTTAAGCACCCTACCTGTGGATCGCGACGCTCCGGGGCTCCGGGGAGATGGTCGCGCGGCCACGGCACTCAGCCGGGGTCGTAGGGGCCTTGAGGAGGTCGCCGAACGACAAGTGATGGCTGTAATCGCGACAGGTCCAGGTGTATCCGCGCTCGTCGCCGCCCTCCTTCACGGATGAACGTTGTTGTTGTCGTCTACCGGCACTGCCGACGCAACCACCGCTGTCGGCCGTGGCACCGCCGCCGCTGCCGCCACCCTCGGACAGATGACGGGTCAAGGGTCGCCGCATGTCTCATTCAGATCACCGACTGATAACTAATGCGAGCGGCCGGACCGGCTGCGGTCGACCAGTGCTAACGTTCGTTCGCACACGCGCGTGAAGTTTGCCGCGGAATTCTCGTCGACTCTCGTTCGAGTCTCGGCGCCGAGTGACAGATCCGATCTCTCTTCTTTCGCGCGCGCGTAATCGAATCTTTTCCCCATGAAAACTCATTCGCCGTGTCACGATCCGTGGGGCGCGCTCGCGCGCTCCTCTCTGCGATACCGGGACACCGGGAAAAGCGTTTGATCGCGATACCGGGATGCGCGAGGAAAGACGAAGGACTGCATGCGCGCGCGACCGATCGTCTCTCCTCCCGCGCAAGCGTCGCCCGACTTTGGTCACGCGGCTGCCGCCCCCCCACGGAGATTCGTGAGTAACTTGACAGATAAGGCAGGTCGCGCGGTCCGCTGGCTGTGTGGACTTCGATTCAAAATGATTTGCCCACGCCATTCGTATAATTAAAATGATAATAAATTATCCTTTATTTTAGAGCGAAAAAGTAATTGTAAAAATGATATTGTATGTAATATCTCTCTTTCTCTATACTATTTCAATTTAAATTTTTATATAAAAATACAATTATAAAAAAGGTTTATATTTCTGCCATTTACCATCGGTACTTACTTGGTTTAGTGTTTTATATTTTAACCACAGTATTTATCGAGGGCGTTAGCGTATGACACATTTTTTTTTTAAAAGGACTATTTAATAAAAGAATTATTTTTTAAAAGGATTATTTTTTTAAACTATTTAAAGCAATCTATTCAATATTATTTTGTGTCGGTATCTTTTTCTATTAAATAGGATTATATACCTTATATATTCACGCAATTTCCATATAAGTTCATATATCATATTTCATATATCAACCGTATATATATTTGATTTTTAATTACACCGATTAAAATTGGATTAATTTTCACACATATTTTTCAATTCTTTATTACTTATTTAAATTAATAAAATAAACTTATTTATTTAAACTTTCGATTGTGTCGTTAATTTTTTCATTGCTTGAAAAGTATACTCTTTAGAGTTAATAACAAAAAAAAAGAGTTGTAATCAAGGAAATTATCGGCGAATGAGCGCTGGCTCAGTAAATCATATATGATATACTTAATCTTCATATCTAACAATTATTTATCATAATTATATGTAACCCTTTTTTTCATAATTTTATATTGCTTGTTATATTATTTGCATGCTGTATATTTGTGAACGAGATATTGGAAATGTTTGAAGATGAGGGGAAAAGCAACCGGGACCGGGACACGAGTTAAAGCAAATATTTAATTTATTAGTGAATCTGCGCAATCATAAAATATATTCATGTAACGATCAACGAGATATAACATCGATAGAGCTCGGCGTTGAACGTGACGAGACAATCAACGGGGGAGTCGGAATCGGACGTAATCGCAGACACCCTAGAGGAAGTCGCGTAACTTCCTCGCGGACTCGAGGGGACAATAGGGCGAATCGGGGGAAGGGAAGAGGGGGCAAGGGGGCGCACCTTGTCAACCGGGTCTCACCATTTTTCTCTCGCTTATGACGAAGCAAGTGATGTCGCTTCGCGAAAAAAAAAAAATATGGCACATCTCGTCGTTTGTGTATACATGCTATATAAAAATAGAATCCACGGTGCGCATCCTGATGTACGGTAATCGGTCATCGATTGAACAACGGGGGACGAGAGAAACTCAACGGGGAGGATCGCGGGATGACAGATCGAAAAATCAAACGCCGATCAGCTGTTCGCAGAGACGTGTGTCGCGACGCTGTAACATTCGTATATTATATAATTCGACTACAGGTCAACATCACTATGGCAGACGTGTATTCGACGCTCGTAAAATAACGAGCGTTTTTCTGTCCGGAAGGGGAGATCACCCTCTAAGCGACGAATCCACCTCCGATTATTACGAGGTTTACGTTAAGTAAGGACCCACCGATCGGTCCATTAATCGCCTAATTGCGGTTGATGTTTCGTGAGTAACGTCACATCCTTTTTGTCGAAGCGCAGCCCCTCTCTCCCTATCGAATCATTTGTAAAGCTGCTAGAATTTCGCATCTCTCTCTCCTTAATCGATTCATATATGTACAAAAAATATACGAAGTTACTCGCGAGACATACATTCTGCTCTGCGTGCGGCTGCGCGTGTGACTCGGGCCGCGCCAAATTCCTGCAAGAGAGGGTAAACGACTTAAATTAGTCGTTAGATTATACATCCCCTTGTATTGTGACTAAAATAAAAATTTCACACGCGAGACAAACACGTGGAAATATATGGGATGGAATAATAATTAGATTCTTCTCGTGACTCTAAAGTATTCAAAGGAGTGAATCGCGGGATAAACGTAATACTCTCATAAGAGACGAGGAAGTACTCTATAAATAAATCGCCCATTCAAGAAAGAGAGCGCCTCTTTTCGAAAAATACCCCTACTCGCGCCAGGATGGCGGTGCTACCCGGGGGCGCGGCCCAGTTTACGACATCTTCTACGCGGCGAATCGGATCTCTACGACTCGCCATTCGCGTAACGCACTATTATCGAGCTACAACATCGGCCGCGTACCTACGATTTATTAACGACTTGGCCGTGTATAAATATATATATGTATATATATATATATATATATATAAATCGCGACGCGCGAAGGGGGACGAAACAGGACTGCCTGTGCGCTACGCGCATTTCACCCGCTGTTGCACGATATTAATTATTTATTTTTTTTTAAAAGGACTATTTAATAAAAGAATTATTTTTTAAAAGGATTATTTTTTTAAACTATTTAAAGCAATCTATTCAATATTATTTTGTGTCGGTATCTTTTTCTATTAAATTCTCTCTCTCTCTGTTTCTCCCTCGCAGGCCCCGCGCTCGCGGAGGGAACCTTAGCAGCCGACCTGGTGCAGCATCGACGCCAGCCGGAACACCCGCATCCAGGCGAACATGCCGGTGGACGGCGAACGGCAAACGGTGGCCCGCGTCGACGACGACGTCGACGAGGTCTTGCGTTGCTCCTGGACAACGGACGGCGACGTCGCGTCCATGGATGCGGCGTCGCTGCTCTCCGACTTCCTCTGCTTCTGCTGTTGCTGCTGCGGCGAGTACTTCATGTCCGCTGTTATGCGATAGGCAAAGCGATAAAAGGTGAGAGAAAGATTGGAGGTGAAGCGCTCTCGCGGTACTTTGTCCGTCACAGATGGAACTTGGAGAATGAGATCGTTAACGCTCGAGAAAGCCATCATTTGTCGTGGCATACTACTTTGATAAAAGCCAAAACGAAATATGTACGTTATATAACGCTATATCGTTACGTTTCGGTTAACAAAACTCAAGTCTGAGCTCTCGACCATATCATTGCCAATTCAAAGAACGGAAGGATTTCTAATTATAAGTATAAAACGCTACTAATTAAATATTATAGATTTATAAATTTGTTAAGGAAACAAAAATTGTTTTTAATTATTTTTAAATATTTCGTGTATCTTTATCCACATATTTTCATTCATGATTTATGTAAAACGTTGAATCCAACAAGTCCGCCTACGCGAGCGGTACGACTTTGATGCGAGCGATTATTCTGACGATAAATCTCCACAATTGCAATTATTCCGCGATGAACTCCGACCAGCGGAAAGGAAAATCCGCGGATCTCTTTGCGTAAATGCCGTATTAGCCTTGATTATGTTTATTTGCGTCTATTCGGTCATGGTCGTCTCTAACGCACATATGTTACGAATATAATCTCGTTCTTACGGGACGGCATATAATTCTTAATTTCGAAGAAGAATAATATTTTCAAAAACAAACTCAATTTTTCTCAATTTTTACATAACAATATATGCTTCATTAATTCTCATCTGCGTCTAATTGTAAGTGAAAAAAGAAAAAATATGTTTCTTGTTTCGAATTGATAATACGCATGTCGCATGTCGAAAGAAATGTGAGTCAACGTCATGTATTGCTCCCTATATTATACGGCTCTGTTTATTATACTGTTACGAAACCGCTGTGTTTCCAGGAGCGCGCGATCGCTCGGTGGCAGAGATGCCAATTCTGAGACTCTGCCACAGCCACAGCGTGTGGAGGGGATAACTCACACAAGCGTGAACCGTGTACATGTAATGCGCAGAGCGTTCTGCGCATTACACGTACACGGTTCACGCTTGTGTGAGTTATCCCCTCCACACGCTGTGGCTGTGGCAGCGTCTCAAAACTGGCATCACTGCTCGGTGGGCGTCTCGGTTGGCGCATGCGTCTCTTTCAACCAGCTGATTCCCTAGACCTACTTTTCGTTCGATGATGTGCGGGCTGACATCATATATACACGGCCGTGTCACTCTCGATACCGCCTTTTTCTTCTATCCGTTTTCTTACGAACTGAAATACCATAATATCGCTCTCTACAAGCGTTTTTTTTTTTTAAGAATTCATTGGTGTCAGCTGAGAAGCTTAACTGTAATTCTCTCTCTCTTTCTAAAAAGAAAAAAAAATTGCCTCTACAAATAATCGGTTAACTTTGACCAGCACAGTTTTACAACTCGTTTATGACAAGCCTGTCTGAATATCCATTAAATTTCTATGAAGATTTTATTTGTTTATATCTCCTTTCTCTCTCTCTCTCTCTCTTTTTCTCTTCGTATACAACCGACTGTCATCTGCATTACGCGATCGTGATGTCACGCATCTCTAATAGCAGTAAACGCACATCTCGTCATACGAACCATGCTAGGTCGCAGCTGCAAATGCAATTAAATACAATTTTGATCGATTCGATATGAATCTCCAGAGATACTACACATTTCTCTACGCTTTCTTTCCTTCTCTTTTTTTTTCAAATACGTAAGGAAAAAATCAACATATGGAAAAAAGCAACCAAAGATCTTTCGGCTTTTATATTTTAGGATAATCTACTCTCGAAGATTTTTATTAAGATTTACTACAATTTTTCTGTATATTGCTCTTTGGAAAAGAGATTTCCCGCAGAGAGAAATTAGCATCGTTTATCACTGAATACAATATTTTCTCTTCATTCATCAAGATTATTTCTATTTTGAATAAATTAATTACGCACTCGTTTTACGTTTGCGGAACAAATGCGTAAACATATCATCGCGAACTTGGGTATTTTCGCGTGTAAGTATATGTACGCGTGTACATACACGCATGTCGAGAGATTCCGTGCCCTAAATCCTGGTCGTTGCTCGAGGCCGTCCTTAGACCTGCACGCGCTACTTGATTGAATGAGCTTTACTTGGTGCACGCAACAAAGGTTACGAGTCATTGGCACGAACAAAATATCAGTAAACGTTATATATCTGCGTACATATTCAAAAATATCATCACGGATTTACATGTGTAGAATATGAAATCGTAGAGTCGATGTCGAAGATTGATTTTTCGTTTTTAAGAAAAGCATTATACATATAAAAACGTTAATAAAGAGCCAATTAAAATAAATAATATAAAAATGCCAATTTCAATTTGCAATTAATATGTCTGTAAGATTCATAAGATTATATTTATGTATTTATTAAACAATATCTTTTTTCGATCACACACGTTTTAAAAAAAAGGAAAGAAATATAATAACAGAGATTTATCTCTCGATTGTTGAATTATTTCGGCGTCTCGATAACTCGATAATAATTCGATAATTATTTCCAATATCGACAGCTTTGAGAATAAAATTTCTTCGAGAAAAAGAGAGAGAAACTTTCTAGAATACGCGATTCTACCTCGAAGAGTCCAATCGTTATTCGAACCGTCCATCCGTCCAACCGTCCTAGTTGTCACGCGATAATCTTAATTCGCTAACAGCAAACCTAAGTTTCCCCGCATAAATTATTGATTAATTGACAATTGATAAGTTTACCATGACAATTATAACAACTTGAGAGCGACTCGAGATATCTAGAAAATTAAAATTTTTTTCTAGACATCCAAAGAATTAAGATCGCGATTGATGTCTTTACGATTTTTGTAGTTATACCATCTGCAAAAGTAACAAATATTTTAAAAAAGAAAAACGAAATAATAAAAATATTCCAATAGTTACAAAAGCATTTCAGCTTTAACTGATAAGTGATGATAGCCGATAATCATCGTCGTGCTTATTCGCTATATAATGGTTTCAGCGGGAATAGATCAATAAGTCGTTAAATGTCAAAACCACGTTCAATCGATCTGTCAACCGTAGAATGCGAGAGCCGAATGTGATCTAGCCTAGTGAAAAATATTCGTTCCTATGGCATGAAGCAAATATACTACGGTGAACATGAAAAAATATATTCCGACAAGATACATCGAAGTCTACAAAAGAGAGAGAGAGTAAATGATTTCTCGCGCGATTCAATTACCATATCATTCCAGCCGTTGCCCAAAATTATCTCTATAGATCTATCGGAATTAAACGGTTCTCCAAGTTCCCAGGACATAGTCGACGCGAATTTTTGATCGTCACTCACCTGATCGACTCGTGTTTGGTCGCTGCAGCTCGTTCGCCGAGCTCGGACGTCGATTATTCTAGCTGGTGAACGCGCGACCTTCCACAGCGATTCCGTGCGCGGCGCGTAGCGTTCTGCGGAACACGACGACGAGGTGCAACGAAACCGTGGACAGGAGAGGACAGGGGTGGAGAGGAGAGGCGAGGCACCTCCTCTCCGTCGCGCAACTTGTACGTCGACGCGATCGTTCGGACGGTACACGGTGGATGGTGAATGGTGGGGTCGCTCGTCGTCTTCGTTGGCCGCGCATTCCGCAGCGCCGGCGCTGCATCGACCCGGCTCGGTTGATGGTTTTTCGACGATGTACGAAAAAGCTCAAACACCCACCGCGACTGTTGAAACGCGAACCCCGCTACGCGAGCATCGTTTTGTCCCGTCTCTCCCCTCGCTCATCCTTGAAATTTTTGAAATCTGTCCTACTTTCGTATGTGACGCGTTTCGTTTGCCGACTTATCTTACTCAAGTGGTATAACAAAACTCGAAAACTGATATCGTTAACATAATGCCCCTATTATTCAATTTCGACGTAATTTATTTTAACAAAATTTGCATACTCAGCGAAAATCATGTCTCTCGCTTATTTAGGACGATCGCAGCCGTCTTAAATTAGGTCAAATTTAAGATACTCGTAAGGACGACAATTTTCAAAGAAAGGAAGACAGATTTTTGTGGACTTATAAAATTTGTTTTCGCATTTGTTTTTATAAAAATAATTATACAGGATGCGGCATTTAAATTGACACATCTAAATATCATAAAAATAAAGCATTTTATAAAAAAATGTCTGAGACAAAAGTTGTTTGCTTTTGAGGGAGGAAGAGAAGAGCATTATTTATTTTTAATTTGATGTTTCTGAAGGTCAATTCAAGGTCAACTTTATTTTAGTTAATGGAAACCCTTATTTTTTATTGCATATTCTTATAGCCCTTCTTGAGGCCTTTTCAAAACACTATAATAAAATATTTTTTCATTAAGTATTTTTCGAGTTATTTTATATCTTAATCTAACATATTTTGATATAAAATATATAAAATATAAAATATCTCGTAAAACACTTAGTTTTCGATAATCTTATCTAATATCTAATGCTTTTGTCTAAAACATTTTTTTTATAAAATGCTTTGTTTTTATGATATTTAGATGTGTCAATTTAAATGCCGCACCCTGTATAATTTTAAAAGCATCAAAGCACTTATATAGTTTTATCTTTTTGCAAGGTAGATAATTTTTAATATTGTTCTCTTCATTAAATGAAAAGTGCTTAAGAAACTGACTAGAGAAACCATAAAACTTCGTCACCCCCTTTATTGTATTGCCCCCTTCTCCCCCCGTCTATATTTGCATAGTCAGATAATCTCGTGATATCGTATATACGTGACTCGGAGTGCGCACAGTACACAATATTTCCGACACGAGTCATTCAGATAATCCCTACATCATCGGCTATTTTGCGCTCGACGACGAAACTTTGATCGGTACTTTGAGCACTTGCCAAAGAGACCATCTCATCATTTTTATCTTCGTTATCTAACATGGGGCAACCGGCGTTTGCTCGGCGCAAACATAAAGGTATCCATCCCGATCGATACATATGTTCTTGGGACTTCTTCCCGTATATGTATATGGAGGAACCGCGCATGATTATGCATGAAACTCCTCGGTTACGTTAGCCACGAAATGCCGTCAGAGTACTTAAACAAGAGTCTTGGATAACCGATGATGTAATATAGATATCTTTTTTTTTTTATACTTATGATAAATGCCACTGCAAGAATTATAGAGAAAAAATATCTACGTATAAATAGGAAATATATACTTTTCGATAAATTGGTCCCTGCGTTTTTCGAACCCCCCC